CCTTCCGCTGATAGTGTTGCCTAGTTGGGTCGTGAAGTTATCTTGCCACCAAACAAGCCAGCTCGGAGAGCCCCAAGGACGCCCCCCCCCCACTCCATAGTCCTCCTCCTCCTCTCTGCAAACCATGATCCAAACTAAAATCAGGTTACCCATCTGGGCAATGAACGAACCTGTCTGCCAGAAAACACCCAAGCTCGGAAAGCATCAGGGTTGGACTAGATGACCTACAAGGTGCCTTCCAACTCTGTTAATCTGTTACACCCACAATCTGGGGGGTGGGGTGTGTGTGAATCCTGGCTACAGCTGCCTCAAGCCAGCAGGGGTTTATTTCTCAACCCATTCTCCCCTATCTACTTCGGCCTCTTAATCCCTTCGAGTCACTTTAAAGCTGAAAAGGGCAATAGGTGCATTCGTTTTTTTATTTGTGATTCTGCTCGCACTGCAGGTGCAATCATATTTATTCTAAATAACGCAAACATTCCACACACACACACACACACACACACACACACACACAACCATCGTTTAGGGTCACTTAGGGGCCCCAAAATGACCCCAAGCGATCCCCAATGAGACAGCTGCCACTTGGTGCACCTCATGTCCTCAGTCCTGCAAAGCTAGAGAATACTTTTCATGACAAAAATGGCAACCCTGGTCTACAGGCAGTCCTTGACTTAAAACAGCTCATTTAGTGACCATTTGAAGTTATTTATAATCCTCACCAATCATCAACGACCCCATAATCCCTCCCAGGGTGGCGTTTGGACAACTGAACAGCGCTGAGTGTTTAACTGGCCGGATGCCCTTCCTGTTGCCAGGGTGGAGGTTTGTTTTTTTTCCAGCAGGTATATTCTCAGTGTGCTCAGAGAAATATTTGCCTCTACCTTGGATCGAACTTGCCTCTAGGCCACCACACTACACACCATTTGAAGTTATAATGCCGGTGAAATAGGGCAGTTATGACCATTTTTCATGCTTAACGACCGCTGTAGCATCCCCAGGGCCATGGGATGAAAATCTGGACGCATGGCAACTGGCTCACATTTACGACGGCCGCAGTGTCCTGGGGCCATGAGATCAACCTCCTCTTTTGTGACCTGACAAGCAGAGCGAACGGGGAAGTGGGATTCGCTTAATGACCCTAGGGATTCACTTAACGGTGGCATGGGAAGGTCAAAGAATAGGATACAATTCACTTAAGCAATCGTTTTGCTTGGCAAAAGGAATTTTTGCGGTCGTTAAGTGGAAACTCTTATCTTCTCACCAAAGTCCTGGAGTGCAATTAAGTGGCAAATGAGAGCCTTTATCCTTAACCGTAGGATGGGGACGTTCTGCACCGCCGGCGGCTGCCGGAAAAGATGGCGGCGAACTCCGACAAGCCAGTCCGCTTGACGCAAACCCAAGGAGAGTCTGTCAAAGATGTTTGCGTGTAGGGCAGGGGTATCAAACTCAAGGCCCATGGGCCGGTTCCGATCCGCAAGGTGCTTCGATCTGGCCTGCAGGGCCAACCTGGAATCTGCCAAGGACCGGCCCACGGTGCCAGCAAAAAAAAAGCAAAGCTCCGTTTTCACTGGCAGAGGGTTTGCAGAAGGCGATCGCTGAGAGGTGGTGAATTCAGCCAGTTTGGACCGGTTCTGGAGAACTGGTAGTGGAGATTTTAGAGTGGTTGGGAGAACCAGCCAATCCCAACTCTGACTGGGCTCCGCCAACCCCAATCTCTCCTCTGCCTCCCATTGAGTCCCAGCTGATCGGCTGGGTCTCCTTGGGTTGCCCTGCACAGGAGAACGGAGCTGGAAAGCAGGTCAGTGGGGGCGGGAAGCGGGATTTTGCAGTATATCCTTCCCCTGCCACGCCCCACCAAGCCACACCCACCGAACCTGTAGTAACAAACTTTTGAATCCCACCACTGCAGTGCCCTCCAAGATGGGTCGTTTTCTTGTAGGCTAATGGGGTGGGGGAGGGATTTTGCAGTATATCCTTCCCCTGCCACGCCCACCAAGCCACGCCCACAGAACTGGTAGTAAATTTTTGGGGGGAATCCTCCACCTGCTGTCGCTGCCGAAAAACGGCGTGCAGGAGCCCGTCTTCACTGGCAGAGTGCTCAGACCATCACAGGCACCACCCCCCGACTCAAATGTTGAGCTGGTCAGGCCCCTCCAAGGTCAAACATAACCCTCAATGAAACCGAGTTTGACACCCCCGGTGTAGGGCCAAGAAAACGAAAAGCACACCCACAATCCGAGGACAGAAAATGGCGCATTGTTGTTTTTTCCCGTTCAAGTGGGTCTGCTGCAGGGGTGGTATTTCTACGGTTCGGCCTGGTTCGGCCCAATGGGGAGCTCCAAGGATCGTCTGCGAGCGAACCGGTTTGCTCCGACTATCAGCTGCTGGGCCAGGGGGGCCTCCTCCCTCCCAGGTTCTATCCCGATCTTTTTATATCCTGGTTTTCAAACTCCGCTGCTTTTTGTGGGGCCCAGCAGTTTTTAACACACAGGGAGAGCCCAGGATTGCGGGTCAGTAGCAAACCTTCCAGGTTTGCGCCTTCGCCGAACCGCGGTGGTGCTTTTCTACCAGGTCCGGCACACCGGTATTTCCGGAGATCAGCGGAGACCAAACCAATTCTGAAGAGCTGCTGTTGGGCCCCCACCTGTCCACCGGGGTCTCTCCTTCTTCTGAAGCGCAGCGCGGCAGCTGCTGAAGTGATTGGGGGAGAGTGCAGGATTGCAGGTGAGTCGGAAAGCCTCTGCACATGCGCAAAGCGCGTGCTTGGTGTATGCACGTGCGCAAAGTGCGGCCAAACCACGCCCACCGAACCGGTAGTAAAACTACTTTGAAACTCACCACTGCCAAAACGGTTGTTGGTTGTGGTGAGCCGGCAGCAGGCGCAGACGGCTGTGGAAAGCGAGGACTCGAATGAGGGGCCGGCACCATCAGGGAGTGGATTGCTGCCTTCAGGGATGGTGGGGGCTGGCAGCAGCAATGAGGAGGTTCCCGAGGAGCCTGTGCCAAGTGTGCAGGAGTACAGGATGATTCGTAGAAGAGAACAGCTGGAGCAGCACAGGCAACTCGGGAGTCAGGCTGCATGGTAATGGCCCCTCCCTCCAGGGAATATAAGCCTGGTTTCAAAAGGTTTTTGCCTTTGCAGAAAGCAAAAACGTTCTAAGGACTCGGCATTGTGTGTAGAGACTCCGGATTATCTGAAGAATTCTGTCAAGGCTTTTCTGGTTGGACTAACTGGCTACAAGCCATCTTTTATCTGCAAAGAAGTTTATTTGTAGATTAAAGCTGTGAAGGTTTGAGTTGCTGCTTTTGAGATTTTCTTGCTGGTAACAGGGTTGAGTCAGAACACCGCTACACCGGCTGAATCACACCCGTTGCTGGGTTTGTAAGGGTGTCTCTCTCCACTGTTTGGTTGCGTTGTTTGTCCCCCTCTTTTGTCCACAACACACACACACACACACACACACACACACACACACACAAAGAGATGCCGCTGGCAAAGGAGCCTTGCAAGGTTTGAGCTGTTCCAAATGTTTTTTATTTTATTTTTTTTATTTTTTATTTTCTCCATACCATAAGGGACATATAACATCGGGGTGGACCGAGATCTGCCCCTCCCCCATCAGCCCAGGCTCCATCTGTACACAGCCATGACTTTCTTGGGAGGATGGAGGTGGGGGGGGGGAGGGAGGGAGGGAGGGGATTAGGGGTTCAGTAGAGGGGGCAGGTTTCGGGAAGCCCCTTCTTTGGTAAGCAGGTTCAGACCATCTGTGGATTCGCCTTTCGGGCTCCCACCCTTAACTCGCCTTCCCTGCTCAGGGTTCTCTCCGATTTGGGGAGTGAACCCACCTGCCCGGACACCCCACCATTGGGAGGGGGGGTCCCCTAAAACCCAGATTTTGAGGCTGCTCCTATCACTCTTGAGCAGGAAGTCTTCGGTGAAAGCCAAGAAAAAGGAGCGGTCCAGAGCGGAAGAGGTAGGTAGGTAGGTGAAAGGAGGGAAATGACGGGGCGGGGGCCTTTGGCGGAGACCGTCGGGCCCTTCCCCGGGTGGGGGGGAGAGTGGGGGCCCTGCCTCTGGGAGATGGGCTCACTTTGGGGGTGGGGGGGTGTTTCAACAGGAAGGGCTGGCCCAGGGCGGCCGTTGGGCTCCCCGCTTCACTTCTGCTCGGCCAGGCAAGGACACAGCAACGGCCGCCGCTGTCCGGTGGAGCGCGATTCGTCACCGACACTACTCTACAATGCAATACTGTGGATAAGCCTGGGATGAGGAGGGAGGAGAAACAGACATACCCCCCCTCAAAAAAAATCCCCCCCAAAGGATTTTTTTTTTTTGTTTTAAAAGAAGAGCTTTTTATGTACAGAACATCCATTTTACAAAAGTCTGGCCGAGTACTGCGTACAACGGACGATGATGAAGAAGACGACATGATGCATAGAAGGTACAGAGAGGAGCCAAACATTTCCACTGTTGTTTTTTTCTTTTTTTTATACACCCAAGAACAAAAAAATTGGAAAAGAAATTATATTATAGATTTATATTTATATACGTATGGGTTGTTCTTTTTTTTAAAAAAATGAAACGAACGAACAAAAAAAAAAGATGGCACTGCTTCAAAAGTGAAGAGTCTTCCCAGATAC